CCTCCGGCGGGGGCGAGCAGGGGCGGGGGGCTAGGGTGGGTTTTTGCGTGCAAGGCAGCGTCCAATTTTTCGGAGCGTTTCTTGGTGACTTCCTGGCACCTGCCATCCCTGGGATTTGAGGCATTTTCGGAGAAGATCTGACCACCCAACATATTATTTCTCGAACCTTCATCATGACCTATGTAAGGATTTTCTTGTTTGCTCTCTTGGAAAAGCTGCTGGCAAGTAACGATGTTCAAGCTTTCAAGTCCTTAGAAACCGATTCAACCGACACAACATAGACTAATTGACTATATAATAGAGCTAAAGATAGTGCAAAGGAACCCGTATAAAGATAGTCCGGAGCTTTGCCACATTTTGGTTCACGATTTGATCACACAAGGCGGAGCGTTAGGTCACCGGAACGCTCCTGATCTTTACAGTCTTCCGTCCTCGCATTTCTGCATTAAGGGATCAAACATCCAAACACAGTGTCCATTGATGTCCATTGTGTATACAATCTACAGTAAATTTGGTCTCCAGATTTACAATCTCCACATGAGAACAGGAAGAATGTTCTCCAGGCTTTCGTGTGCGCCAGGATTCCTGGCCCACTATCGACTTACTCGTCTGAATCCTGAACCACCATTGTTTCACTAAAGATTTTACACTGCGAAACCAGCTTAACCATGTGTATACACATATTTAAGCCGCAGTCTAAGGAGAAGGACAGTGAGAGAGGAACGCCGAAACCACCAGTTTAGGTCACCATCCAATACAACTTCCCATGTAAAGCCTTTAGGTGTGGTGTTGAGATCCAGGAGGCTCCCACCCCCAACAGGTGCTGACGGAGATCCGGCGCATCCTCGCGGTGTCGGAAAGCGCTACTGGCTGGGCACAGGAGGTGCCGGCAGTTTTGGTGGCTGGAAAATAATAACCGACGTTTCGACCAACATTGGAATTCAAGGAGCTTAGCTGACACAAATACTTCCTGCTGAACCCGTTTGGGGTCCATGCTTGTAATGATAGTTCTTTTTTGTGGGATTCTGAAGTGAGGAAACATACAAGATATGAGTGGTAGAAGCCTGGCCCATGGGTTCCACCCCACCCGGCAGGTGCTCCGCCTGGACGCCAGCGCCGCGGACCAGCTCGCCCAGCTCGCGCCCAAGGCGTTCCGCACTCTGGCGAGGGAGATCCATCCGGATGGGCGGTCGCCCTTGGACGAGGAGGAGCGGAGAGTGAGCATCGATGGCCAGCCACGCCAATCTCAGCGAGCTGTTCCGCTTTTCGGGTTGATTTGATGGGAAGGAGGGATAGGCTCGGGTGGTGTAGAAGGGATCGACGCCTCTCTATTCTTCCCAACCCCGACATCCTTGGGTTGCAGGCCCCAATAAGAGAGGCGGTGCTTGCGCAACGCCTTGAACTTACATTCTCCCCATGCCCATGCCTGCGGGGCCTCTTGGAGAGAACGTCTGTCCCATCCGGAAACGTCACCCCCAAACAGAAGGCCTCCTGACTGACCTCCCTGCTGGCCCTACGAATCACTTCGCAGGACGAGCTGTTGTGCCACGAGGCATTGGAGAAGCTGCAACGCGCGCGGCGCCACCTGGTGTGCTGCGAGGAGCAGAAGGGTCTGGGGCGCGGCGAGGGACGGTCGCTGCGGCGGCCAGAGCGGCTGCGCTGCGAGGCGGGGTTTGTAGGATGGTGAGGTCGGTCAGTGCGTGTTCCGGTCGGTCCTTCGTTCCAACTCGCTGGTTCAGCTCAAGTCGAGTGGAACAGCGAGTGGTTCAGCCTGGAGTCCACCTGTTGTGAATGCGACCTTTGCGGAGAAGAGCTCTACGGGGGTAGAACGAGCGGATCTCAGATTCCGATGGGGAGCGGTGCATTCCGATGTGAGCCATGCTTCATTTCCTGTTGAAGAGTTGGGAAAGCACTAGGTACCAACCTTGCCGGAGGTTGCTTTTGGCCTGCGGTCCCTCAAGTGCGTGCTGCTAGGTGCTGCTAGGTGCAGCTGGGTGCCAGTTGCAGCCCAAGCTGAGCTGAAACCACTTGTTCCGACCTTAAGGCTTAAATGGATGGGGGTTTGTCGCTATCCGGCTATTCTTCCGAGAACTGTCCCCTCCCAAAAAGAGGGCTTTGCATTAGAATAGGGCAACCCCACAGAACCCCCTTGAAAGACGAACACTAGACTTGGTCACTAATATCCATTGTTTGATTTATCTTATTCCAATCTAGACCCGGATCATTTCCCAAGGGATATGACAAAAGTTGTCCTTTTACAACTTACAACCCATTTAACTATATATATTTTTTCACTCTACAACCTTTTGAGTTGGGTATCTCCAACCAACCAGGTGCGCAACGGCGGCTGGCACATCACCTGGCAGCGGCTGGCGGGGCATGAGGGCTCGGTGCTGCGCTATGAGCTGCGAGCGCAGGTGGGGGTCCGTGTGGGTTCTCGTTTCCGGTCCGTGTGGAGGACATGGGGTGCTGGTTGTTTGAAAGATTCTTTAGGTTTGGAATTCAATCCAATAGAGAACCTGGGGCGATGTTTCAATCGGCAGTTCCGTCGCTCAGCACAGAACATAGACATTGGACAGGGAAAGACGATATTACAGTTTCCTTTGCGACCAACGAATGGTTATCCTCACTTGTCCTCATCCTTTTCCTTGTCATTCTCTTTCCTTTTCGTTCCTTCATTAGCATATCCATTGGGGTGGTGCACGAAATCTTCCTTTTTTGAGACACAGATAAGCAGTCCGTGGGTCATCCTTTCATCTCTGGGTCAGATCCGTGAGCCAAAGACTCGCGCAGAGATTTCACGCGTTTTACAAGCCGGAAACGGGATCGAGTCTCTTTTTGAGCAAGTTCTTGGCAACTTTTGTGGGTTTTGGGACATGCTACTGTGCCTGGAAGACCATTCGTGGAAGGAGAGGTTGGTGGTCTTGGTGGCTTCATATACTATTTTATACGTCCCTCTTCGTGCCAGGATCTTTATTGGTGCAAAGCCGCCAATATACAAAGCGAAGAAGGTGGCCGCAAGAACCAAACAACCAAAAGAGAGACAGGCATCACCTCAAGTTATATTATATATAAAAGCCTTTTTCCACTCTTCCTCCCTCCTTTCCTCCCTCTCTCCCTCCCTCCCTCCCCTCCCTCCCATTCCTTTCTTCTTTGGGAAAGAGGATCTTTCTTTTGATTGGAGCTCTTTGTTTGCCCCATCCAAACCATTTGAACCACGCCGATTCTTCGGTGACGGCATTTTTCCGCGCGAGCCCGCCAGGTCGCGGGAGGGATCGCCTTGGCCACTTTGGCGGAGTTGGATCCCTCAGAGCCCGGGGGCTTCGAAGTGAGCTTGCATCAGCTGCCAGCGCGTGTGAAGAGCTCGTTGCAGTCCAATGGTTGGCTGTCAGTACGCGCCTTCACCCAATCGGAAGATTCAGCTGCAGTCTTGGTTCTTGGCTGTCTTGCGTGGTTGTTCTATGCGGTTCTTGGGTTTTCAGTCTTGAGCCATTTTGGACAGGTTTTGAACAAGAGTGGGCGTCTCAGTGGTTTGACCTGGAGGTCTGGACCCCGCCCCAACATGCCACGCGGCAGTGAGTCAAAGCACGGGGACCCCGGTTCACCGAGGAGGAACAGCATAGATTAGCAGACATGGTCAGTTGACCAGGGTTTGGAGCTCCAGGATTTGACCCACTGACACATGTGACATGCGTTCAATCCTTAAATCCGCAACGAATTTATATACGCAGGTTGGGGTGATTTTTGGTCCCTTCCCGTGTATCATTTTTTTTTGGTGAACCTTGCCCCTCCAAAAAGGATCAAAAAGGAACCCATGTCTAAGCCCAAAAGGCACTCCTGGAAGAGCTGCATTTGCTTCGAACTTAAACACAAAGCCGTCGAACAGCTTCGTCTGCGCAGGTGTCACACCCTCTTGAAGAGCTCAGACCACTCTTTGAGAGCTCTCGCAGCTCACCACTCTTTATTTCCCCCACCTGCCTCGCCCAGGTGTCGCCGCGGTGGGCGGCCGCCTGGGCGCGGCGCCGCGCTCTGCGACGACGAACTCGGCTGTGTTGAGCGAGGAGACCACGCTGTGGCTGCGCGAGCTCACGGAGGCTGATCTGGGGCGGGGCGAGCTCATGGAGGCTGATTCAGAAGACATTTTGGACATGCTTTTGGACCTCTAGAACATCATTCGCTGTTCCGTTTCTGCACTGCATCTTTTGTGGGGCGACCAAAGAGATCTAGAGCAACTCATGCAACTCATAGGAAGGAGACTCTTTCACTGGAAGGATCTGGCAAGCCGGTGGCCGGTGGGGCGCATGGACAGCGTGGATGAAGCCGAGGGCTGGACGAAGCCGTGCGTTGGTGAACGAAGCGTTGGTCCATTTTAGGGGGTGTTGGCTCAGTTGGTGACCGAAGCTTTGGGTTCCCTATCAAACAAGATGCAAAGCGGGCCTGGTCGAATCCCTAAGTGAATGGTCTTAGTTTGGAGGTTGGGAGCTGAAAAAAAGATGCAGCTCCTTTCTTCCCGCCCTTTTTTGGCTTTGTGACTGGCCACCGCGGACAAGTCCCTCCACAAATTCGTCCCCAAACTTGACGCAGCAAAGAGACAAAACCGTGTCGAGATTTGGAAAGTAGATATCTCAAAAGAGAAACCCGGGGGCCTTTGAGGTGAAGTTAGTCTTGAGATGTCTTCACCTAGGGTGCCTGCCATTGACCAAGCCTTCCACGTGTGGTTTTTGCCCCGCTCCCAGCAAGTCTCCCAGCCAGTCTCAGGGCCCGGCCGTTCCTCCCCTTCCCCCACTGCCGTCGACGGCTCGACGTCCGTCACGGTGCAAGGCCAAGGCCTGTGAGATCAAGGAACTCTTCGACTGATGCGACCCGGTCGAGCCGGATCTGAGGAGGGGCCTGCCGAGCTGAGCAAAAGCGTTTACGCTGGGATGTATGTGATAGACATATATTCACTGTACTGGGTGGCACTTAGTGGGTGACGTAAAGGCTGACTTGCAGACCTGGACCCATCCATGGACACAAACAATTTGACTACTTTGAGAGAGACTAAGGATTATGTTATGTAAATAAGGTTCAATCGTTTACAGTTACGCAGACGCTACAGTTTGACATGATTTTCATTTAGTTTTACATTACATGCACGCATCTGGTTGGTTGGTTGGGTGGGTTGGGTTGGTTTGCTTTGGTTGGGTGTGGTTTTGCTTTGTTGGCTTTTGGTTGGTTTTGTTTGGTTTGGTTGGTAGGTAGTAGCAGAAACCTTCCTTTATTACCCAACACGCAAAACAGAAAACACCAAAACAACAGCAGTAGACATAAGCCCGGAAAAACGCAACAACACTATAGCGCAACAACTGAAAAGACAGACCGTGGAATAAAAAAAACTACTTCACAACGTCACACTTACAGATCAACTACTCCCTACACTACACCACTACTCAAGCAACCACTGGGGCATCAGGAATGAGTTGTGGCCAGTTGAACCTCCAGAATAGCGCTGTTGCTGTTGCTGTTGCCCACTCCGGGAAGCTGACGGTGTCCGAACTTTGCTGCCAGACGCGTCGGCGGCGCAGGTGGTGACGCACTGGTGACGCGTCTGGCCTGTTTGGGACGTGTGGGCTGGAGGCAGCGGCTGAAGGCAGCTGAAGGCTGCTTCAATCATTTGTGCAGCTTGTTGCCTGAGTGGTTGCAGCTTGGGTCATCCAGACTGAGTGGAATCACTCAGAATACCAAACGGCCATCCGAAACGTGGGAGGAATCCGGCAGGTTGCATGAAACGAGCGCAGCTCAGGCGTGGGTATCCTCTCTGCATGGAATTCGCCGAACAGATTGGCGGTGGATGTGGCACTCCCATGACCGCACAGTTTGCGACAAATAACACACCTTGAAAGCGAAAATGGTCGTCACTTGGAAAGAGTCACCATCATCATCATCATCATCATCATCATCATCATCATCATCATCTTAACTTTCTTCTTCGAAACAGTAATTGTGTGCGGGCAAACACCTTTGGTTCTCTGCGCAGCACAGCCACACCGGTGGTGTGCGACACCGGCGCCAGCGCGTAAACTGGACACGATGGCAGGGTAAGGCAGGGAAAAAAATGCCGGGCCGGGGTGAGGGCTCTGCAAGTGATGGGAATCATTATTTATCAGAAGGCTTTGGGAGGTGTTTCTTTTTTCTGGTTTCGTTGGAGTTTTTGGGGCTCTCGTGTATCCATTGCATGTGGGCCCGGTGAGTGTTTCTCCAAGATTGCTAAGGTCATGAATGGTTACTGTTGGTCACCAGAAGAGAAGAGACCAGCAAACCCAAGTGTGATCCTGTTGATGGGCAAGACTTACGTAACACCTTTTCGCAACAAGGAGGAAAGCCCCGCATCATGTTTTTCAGTAGTTGCAATTGCATGGATATACAACTTGAAAACTCTTATCTGAATCTAACTCATGCTGGAGAATGTGCCCATCAACATAGTTGTGAAATGCACTGGTTGTTGCGAAATCTTGGAGCTTGCCTCATCAGCCCTGCCGCCCTTAGCCAGTTGGGCCATATCAGTTCATATATCAATAGTTGTCAAGGTGTGTTGTCATGACAGGAATGGTTCACCAGCTAAGTACTCTAAGCAGGTTCTTTTAATGGCCCCCGGTTTCTCCGAAAAAAGACCTGCAGCTGGCTGATTGTGATCGCCGCCCGTTCACGGACCGGGTCGACCATTAAAGGAGAAAAGCCGTTGACCAGGACCCGGTTCAGTTGGGGTCTCCTTATTCACATACAGACACACACACAAAAGGTTTTGTCCTTTTTGTTGGGGGGGGGGTGAATCCGTGTGTTGGTGCCCTGCCAAGGCCCTCTGGCCACATCTTGGATCGAGTGGAGCAGGTGCAGTGCTCGGGGGAATCCGAAAGATGGCACCGTGCTGGGCATCGTGGTGGGGTGGCTGGGCACATGAGAAAAACACGTTCTTTGCTCCCCATGCTGGGCACGCGTGCGTCAACTGGGCGTGATGAGCAAGTTCTGCTACGGTTTCGCCTGGAGTTTCAGCGACGAAGAGTCCACGAAAGCCATGGGTGTCTTGTCCACGTCGCAACCGCCGGTCGCATGGACGAGGCGCTGGGCAAGACTGGTTTGGGCTTACTGCAGGCCATGGGTGTGGACTGCGTGGTAGATGGGCCGCATGGAAGGGTTGCAAGAAAGAGTGAGATTTGGGATCCTTTCAGTTTGCAAAGCGTCGCTTTAGGCACCTAATCGAGTTGAGATGGGTAGGGCTGGCGTGCCTCAACCAGCCAGAAGCGAAAATCCAACAAGAGTTGAGGCGGCTTCCCATGGCTGGATCCAGCAGCTGGAGCCTTCGCTCGACAGAGAAGCTTGCTGAACAAGAACAGAACGCCCATTTTGCAACACAAATCGACCCCGGCCAAGCAAAAAGTGGTAGATAGATGAGAACATCCTCCCTTTTTTGGAGTGATTGGATCAATCTGGTGGCGAGATGCCCCCCCCAAATTGGAGGGTGAAGCTGGCGTGCTGAGCTGTCAGGGGTGCTGAGCCACGGGGTGAACACAGACAGTCCTTCGGCTCGGATGTCAGGGTCTCCACCTCTATCCGGGCTGACCTTGCGACGTGTTCTTAACAGGTTATTTTGCTTTTAAGATGAGAAAGTTGGAATGAGTTGAGCTAGCTCTTTCGTGTGACATTTGCACGGCCAGAACTTCGATTGCTTTGTGTGCCGCCCGCCCTCGGGAGAGGCAAGAAGCGGAGTGGGAGGGAGAGAGGGAGGGAGGGAGGGAGGAGCTCCACAAAGAACGAGGGGCGAGTTGAGACATGTTAACTTGACGGGAAACTGCACTGAGAAAGGAAGGCACCCAAGGAAATCACTGCTCTTTTGTCCAGATACAAGCACCCAAGAAATAAGACTTCAGACTTTTTCAATGCTCGGGCTCGGAGTCTGGAACTCCTGAAGGTGAGCGGCCTGGGATACAAGCCGAAGGCTGATGATTGGGGCCGCGGGGGTTGGTGGATTGGGTGGTAGTGGAAGGAGTGAAACATCACCTGGTCATGTAGACTCTTGATTCATCACCCCCAGAAGAGGGGTTACAATTAATCCAAATGAGAGGGTTTGTATTCATCAAGAGTCCATTAGAGGGCACTGTTTTTGCTTTTTCAGTTTGAGCAGTTGATATACATCAACTGAAGTATGCTTGATTTCTTTAAGTGGGGAACTGACTTTTTTTGCCGGAATGCACATCCCTGACCCACCCCAGTCCTATCCAAACCGAGCTCCGGGGGAAACCCATAAAAACGTGCCATCCAACGAGCTCCAGCAGTTCAGTTGGGCCGTACGAGCTCCAACACCCAACACCCAGCACTGTGCACCCGTCTCACCCCCTCGATAGGGAGAGCAGAGGAGCCATGCCGCCGTCATGCCGCTGTTCTCCACCTCGCGACGACCGGTGTCCCTTCCTTCGTGGCTTCTTCGGGTGGCATCGACCCCCTTTTTCAGAGAAGAACTGGAATGGAACATACACCATTTTCCATGTGAACCAGCACCAAAAATAAGGGGTACGTGATTGGAAGGACCGAGAAATAAAGGAAGAACACCTGAAACATCTATAGGTCACCCAAACTCCATGGTGCTGGTGCACCCGCACCTCGCCAGACCTTTTGAGGCCGAACCGGAGCTCGAAAGCGGAGCTCCACTTCGGGCGCCCGCGTCGACTTCAGTCGGGGGGCCTGGGCCGGGCGGGGGGGCAGGTGGGTGGGGAGCTCTCTGATTTGGGGGATCGCACAGACGGAACGGAAGAGATGAGTACACGGAACGGAAGTAGCATGGAAGTGGCATGGAAGGGGCCCCTTGGAAGACCATTTTCCTCTACAACCAGAAAGGTTTTCCGCTTCCACGTGAGTTCCAGGGAACGTAAGTGGCGGAACATTTCTGAGCTCACTTGGCTCACTGCCAGGTTCGCGACTTTGCCTTACATCTCTGAGAACCGGTGGAAAACCGCTCGATTTCCGCAGCAAACATCTTGCACAAACAGGTCTCCCTAGGAACGAGTGCCCGAGCAGAATCGAGTGCAGCAAGCCATGGTCTGACTGATCATTGACGCCTGTTCCTTTGTGGGCAAGAAGATCCAGAAGGCGAGGCTTGGTCAGATCTGCTTGGGCTTTCAGTTTGCTGAAGTTGCTGAGGGAGGTCTTTTCTTAAGAGAGACATTGTCAGAGAACAAGAAGCAAGTGAAAAGGTAGATAAATCGGATTCCCTTCTCTTGGTTGAGAGAGTCCTATTTGTTGTGACGCACAAACAGGTTTTACTGGAGTATGCCCGGTCATGTTTGCTAGTCGAATATAGGTGAGCTCATGAGGAATAGACGTTATATTTACATAACAACTGAGTTCCACAACATTGTGTGAGGCCCTTCTTTCAGCCTTTGCACCCACGATGATGTTGCGCGAGGCAATGACAGGCGTGGAAGATGAGAAGCCACGGGGCGCTTGCCCGCTGAGCAGCAAGGCAGGAGAGGAGACAGAGAGAGACACAGAGAGAGACACAGAGAGAGAAAGCGAGAGCGAGAGCGACACGCACCAGGTAGTCCTGTCCCTTAGTTGGTATAGCGGTATAGCGTTATTCTTTGCCCCACTGACAGACTGAGTCAAGAAATCCCACAAGGGACAACAGCTGGGTGAGAATTCGCTGCAAAGAAGATCAAAACAGAAAACCAGCACCGGGCAAACAAAATGAAGAGCACCCACCGAGGGATGAAGATGAGAGGATGATGCAAAGAAGATGGATCGTCAATTCTGTGGCGTAATTATTCCTTTTTGGCTTCGCTCAGAAACAGCAGAGATTCAGAAGTCCCCAGAGTAGAGAACGCGTTACACCCGATTTATCTTTAAAGGGGCTCAGCAGGGGGTGTGCTTTTCATGTTTCTATCCTTTGCTGGTTGGCGCACAGGCTGTGGAACCCTGTTTCTCTGAAGATTCAGCCATCCTCAGAAGCTTCAGGGAGCCTTGTGGTCTGTTGGAGAAAGCTTGGTCAGATCTGGTAGAAAGAGATCGACTGCTTTTCTGCTCCTATCGCGTCCAAGAAAATCTAAAGTGACTATGTTATACCTAGAACCTGAATGACCTCTATTTTGGACCACCAACCACTCAAAATAAGGTCTTTTCCTATCAACACAGAGGTCAAATGGGCTCTAGGTAGGGGAGGAGTCTTTTTGGGTCTTCCGAATCTTTCCTCAGGAGAGGCTGCTTCAACTGAGGCATCACGCTGAGGCATCACGCTTTGACGGACTTCCGAAACTGCAGAGGAACCCCTTTCGCTCTCGGCTCTCGGCTCATCTAGCGGAAAGCAACGGCGACACCAACCGCAGGAGCCGTGAATCCCCAAAACGGCGACCGCGGTGCTTCCCACGCGGCGACGAGTGTCGCGAGAGTCGCGAGCGTCGCGGCAGGCGGCGGTCCGATCGGACCGGATGGGAGGCGACGGTGCCGCCGCCTCGGCGCCGTTGAAGGCGGCTCGTGCGGAGGCGCCTCGCCGCGGCTCGTGCGCGGGCGGCGCGGTGCGGCGCGGTGCAGGGGTTGGTGCGAAAGCTGGGGGTGTTTGGGTGGGCGTGAGGTGGTCTCGGTGGGTGACTGAAGGTTTGGAGGTTCGAACTGCTGACGTGGAAGCATTGAGATGAATGGGCAGCCGGTCGACTCCGAATCACCGGTCGACGTCTTTCTCGGACGTAGCTCCCCCAAACAACCTGCTAGTCGCAGAAGAAGGATTGCCGGTCTTTCCACGCGACATCATGTAGGCCTATAATATATTCTAGGATGGGTTTGAAACAGCCCAAGGGGTGCATCAAATTGTGGGTCTTAGGTCATCCATTGAAGGGTCCATTTGTGCAGATGCAGTTTCTTCTGTGACGGGAGCACTGACCAGGATGCCTTGTTGGTGCGGCGGTGAGCTCACATAAACATATGATTGGGTGTGTATGAAGCCATCGTCTAAACGTCAAACCCGCTGAGGGCCTGTCAGTGCCTTCCCAATTAATTCATGCCCGACGCCACCGCACCAGGGCCCACGGACCTCCTCAGCCCCGAACCGTTAGCGGCCGCGACTCGGACGTGTCCGAGAGCCAAGTCGTCGCTCCCTGGGGCAGCGTTGCAGGGAGGACTGCCCAGAA